TTATTGATGGAGGTGTTTCTATCCTACAATACGCTGATGATACAATCATCTTTATGGAGCATGACTTGGCTAAGGCAAGAAATATGAAGCTGGTGTTATGCCTATTTGAACAATTGACCGGGTTAAAGATAAACTTTCATAAGAGCGAGCTGTTCTGTTTTGGTAAGGCCAAAGATGAACAGGATGCTTATAGGCAATTGTTTGGATGTGAGTTGGGAGAGCTACCATTCTCATACTTGGGAATTCCTATCCACCATCGTAGGCTAACGAACAGAGAATGGAAGTGTATAGAGGACCGATTTGAGAAGAAACTGAGCTGCTGGAAGGGCAAGCTCATGTCATATGGAGGCCGATTAATCCTTATTAATTCGGTGCTCACAAGTATGCCGATGTTTCTTCTTTCGTTCTTTGAGGTACCAGTTGGTGTTAGGAAGAGACTGGACTTCTATAGATCGCGGTTCTTTTGGCAGGGTGATGAGCTTAAAAGAAAATATAGGCTTGCTAAGTGGGATATCATCTGCAGACTGAAAGACCAAGGGGGTCTGGGTATTGAGAATCTAGAAATTAAGAATAAATGCCTTCTTAGCAAGTGGCTGTGGAAGCTTTCGTCGGAAAATGATGCTATATGGGCTCAAATCCTTCGCGGCAAGTACCTCCAGTCAAAAACCTTGTCACAGGTCATAGTAAGGCCTACCGACTCGCCCTTCTGGAAGGGTCTCATGAAGGTCAAGCAGGCTTTGTTTAATAGGACAAAGTTTGTTGTTGGAAACGGCACGAGTGCACGTTTCTGGGAAGATACTTGGCTCGGTGACACACCCTTAGCCATCCAATATCCCTCCTTGTACCGCATTGTTCAACGACGTGAGGTGTCCGTTGCATCGGTCTTTCAATCTATCCCCCTTAATATACAGTTCAGACGAGTGCTAGCGGGCAATCGTTGGGAAGAATGGCTCCATCTGGTTAGGAGACTGATGGCAGTGCAGCTTTCTCAACAACCCGATGAATTACGCTGGAAGTTGACTAAGTCTGGAGTATTCACGGTTAAATCAATGTATATTGATGTAATTAATTTGAACTCCATTCCTACGTCCAAACATGTGTGGGATGTCAAAGTTCCTTTGAAAATAAAAGTGTTTATGTGGTTTGTCCATGAACAAGTAATTTTAACTAAGGATAACTTGATGAAGCGTAATTGGACAGGATCTACTAGGTGTAGTTTCTGCGATCGGGATGAGACTATTAAACACCTATTTTTTGATTGCCCGCTGGCCAAGGTACTTTGGCAGACGGTCCACATTGCTTTCAATATCAAACCCCCGACTTCTGTTTATGCGTTCTTTGGGACATGGCTTAATGGGTTTGAGTCTAACATAGCGAAACATATTCGGGTTGGGGCTTGTGCGTTGTTGTGGACTATCTGGAATTGCAGAAATGATTTGGTCTTTAACAGAATATCATGTATACAATTTTTGCAGGTTTTATTCCGGACTACGGCATTGATTCGTTCGTGGTCGCCACTCACCCAGACGGAGGCCAGGGAGCATTTGGTTACTGGGTCTGTCCGCTGGGAGATGGTAGCTCGGGATATCTTCAACCGGTTTGGATGGCGGTCATGTAATAGGATAGGCATTTAGTGTTCCTATCTACTTTACCCAGCCGGTTGTGGCATCTTGATTTGGCTAGTTGTTGTTTCTAGCCTTTTTATTGGCTCTGTGTGAGCTTTTTCTACTTTTTTACGACCATTGGAACCATGTTGGCACTACTTCTTTTATTAATAAGAGGGCCGTATGCATCGTGCTGATGCAGAGGCCGGGGTTTCTCCCCCTTTTCGAAAAAAGAACATAATAGGCATCATTGACTGATTTCAGCTATTCACAGAAATGCTTGAAAAAATGTACACACCGAGGGCTTGATCTGCTGGATCGTGCTAAAATCTGATAGAAACCATCGTGCACATAGCATCGTTCTCGTTCTTCACTGAAATGCATGTACCTTATATCATGAGTGCAGAATGCAATGATCTTGTCATCCACTTCACCGCAGAATTTTGTCTTCATTCTGAACAAACTGCAACAACATCTGTTTTAAAAAAACGGGAACCATCTGTCGGTATACGGCATCTGGCAGGTACGTGATTACATTCATTTTCTAGCGAGTAATATGGGTCGCACTGTAAGTATTAATTGTACTAGATGTATATGGGAAGGAGATATTTCTGCATTATGATCCAGTAGACCACTCTCATTACACAACACAAGATGTGAAGAATTAATCCCGGGTCTGCCTGCAGATGCCCATTATGGGGAAAATGGAAAAGATAGTTTATGTTTTAAAAAATTGGGAAAAGGAATTACTCCTTTTCTTGGTACGAGAATCCAAGCTAAGCAAAAACTCATAAGGTAAACAAATGGCAGGGATATATTATTCTTGGATTCTGTTTGAAGTTGCTATGCTAGGGCATGTTGGCCTTCTTGGAGAACAGCACAGAGTGGATGTTGGGCAACACGCCACTGTGGGCGATGGTGATGCCATCAAGCAGCTTGGATAGCTCCTCGTCGTTGCGAGTGGCGAGAAGTAGGTGGCACGGCATGATGCGGGTCTTCTTGTTGTCCTTGGCCGTGTTGCCCGCCAACTCCAGCATCTGTGGTTCAAAGAGCACACCGAGACGAGATCAGTTACCACCCTGTCGAGCACGAGAAGAGCAGGAATGGACGAGATTGATGGTTGGTTGGTTACCTCGGCAGCAAGGTACTCGAGGACGGCGGCGAGGTAGATGGGGGCGCCCCATCCGATGCGGTCCGCATAGCGGCCCTTCTTCAGATAGCGCGCGATGCGGCCGACGGGGAACTGGAGTCCAGCCCTCGTGGTCCGGGTCACCGCCTTCTTCCGCTCGCCGCTATTCCTCCCAGCCATCTCCCCTTCTTCTCCGGCGAACTTGAATCTCAAGTTGTGGGTGGCGGCGATGATGGATGTGAACGCGAGGGCACCGCTTTTATAGGGGGGGGGGTGCTCCGTGGTAAGGGGCGCGATTCACGTGACGTGCGGTCGCCGCCGTCGGATCTAGGAGGGAGGGCTGCAGGGATCGGCTCGGAAGCGCACGATCCGTGGGAGGGGGTGTGATCCGCGTGACCAGCGTTCTCCACCGTCGGATCTGGAAGGTGCGAGCGGCTGGGATCGGCTTGGATGGTGCGATCTGCGTCACTAGTGGTCTTCGCCGTTGGATCTGGAAGATGCTGGCTACGATTAGCTCAGGGGCGCGATCTGTGGGAGGACCGGATGGACCAATCGGGACACAACAATCTTTTGTCCTCGCTTTGTTTCGTTTCTTTCCATTAATGTGGAAATTAAATTTGGAAATTGGGAAGAGGGAGGGTAGACTCTTTTTCACACAAAAGATTTTTTTTTGTTTTGATACTTTTTGGCAATCCCTTTTTGTTTTTGGTATGATTGACCGAAAAAATCCAAGCATTTCTCACACCAAAGAAGAAATTCAAGCATGTCATGAAGCACTCAACAAGAAAATTTTAAAATACAGAAGCATCTAGGGGTGACTACAAGGAGGTCAAGAAGAAGGATTTTGTTTCCATGCGCATTGCCAGTCCATATACCAAGAAAGGAATGAAGAAGTAAATCCTCACTTTTGGAATAGGATGCAATAGAAAGTTTATCATGAGGTGATGTAAGTGCATATCAAGGATAATAGTGATGTCCTCCATGGTATTTAAGAGAAGTGTGAGTAGTTCAAACTTTTGCCTCTAATATGTGTGCACAAACATTACTCACCAGGGCTTTTCAAGCAATTCTATAAAACCGTTCTTCATGGAAGGTACTCAGAGGAGGGAAGCTAAAATTAGTGTGTTTGCTAGCACACTTGGTTACATTTTCCAATATGCCAAGATTAGGCAAGGCCTTCGCATCCATGATGTGGAAGTTATGAACATGACCTATCTTGTTGAGCTTCGCCATAGTGATGTGAAGATTGGTCATATGTCATAGGGATGCTATATTTTTGTAAACAAATTCACAAAGTTTATTCAAACTCAATTGCCGCCAAGATTGGAGATTCCACCGAAGTGAGAGGCTATCTAGTCAACTACACATTCTACAGTGCAACTCATACAGGAACATTTAGCCGGTTGGCGTTCAATGAATAGGAACATGTTGCGTCTATAAGCAGTTGATGCTCGAGGAACAGGATCACATTTCGGCCATAGCATGGTACCCCCACCCCAGTCGGTTGGCGCATGATTCGAGGACGTCGTGACTTTGGGCCGGGCCATGTAATGGCGGGGTGCCCTGTGCTTTTTTGTTCCTGTTTGTGTTTTTTTCTTCATTAAAAAATATTCAGCATTTTAAATGAAATTGAATTCCAAACTCTTCAAGAATTAAAAAAATGTTCGTGATATTGAAAATGTTCCTGAATTAAAAAAAATATGTTTGTGGGTTTCAAAGAAATGTTTGTGAATTAAAAAAACAATTTTGTTATTTTGAAAAATGTTCACGGTTTCAGAAAATGTATGTGGATTCGAAAAATGTTCATGGTTTGAAAATTGCTGATGATTTAAAAAAAAGATACTTAATTCAAAGAAATGTTCATGACTTCAAAAAGTGTTTGCAAATTTGTAAGAAATGTTCATGATTGCAAATTTTGAATTGGATGAACAATTTATAAATTAGATAAATCATTTTTTAATTCGATGAAAACTGATGGACATTTTTTGAATTTTGATGATCGTTTGTATTTTTTTGAACAAATTACGAATTCTATGATATTTAAAAGTAAAAAAAAAGAGAAAAAAAATTAAAAACCGAAACCGGAAGTGGATCTATGCTACTTGGGCTGGCCGAGGGTGGTTGCTCGTTTGGTCGACAGTTACCACCTACGCGGCGAATAGGAGTGGTTGTGACTGGAGGTGGGTTTTCTCAGCAGAAAAAAAAAGTAACTGAAGGTGGGAGGCCGGAGGGGAAAGAAAGAGAGAGCGAGAGACAGAAGGGCGACCATGGCGGCGGTGGATCTGTCGAAGCTGCTCAAGGAGAAGCGGTTCTGGGCAGCCTCCTTCCTCATCGCGTGGGCGGCGGGGCTCCAGGTTCCACCTCATCTCCTTCCTTCCTCCCCTCCTCTCTGCTCCAGAAATCAATCAAGACGGGATCTTTAACCGCGGCGGGACGACTGTTTGCAGGGGCACATGATGTGGTTGAAGCGGCAGGACGCCTTCAAGGACAAATTCGGCGACCCCGAAGGCGAAGCCCCCAACAAGGTCACGGAGCAGCCGGCCGACGACAGCACCAGCCTCGCAGGCGAGCTCACCGCCGACGCCGAGATCAGATAGGTAGCTGGGTACATGGATGAGTTACATGAGTACGAGATCCCTCTTTTATTTTGCCCTGTTTACCTCGACCGATCGATCTATCTCTGTGTAGTTAGTACTAGTTCTTGCAGTGCAAGCTTGCTCACATAAATAATGTTGGGAGTTGTTGTAATACCTGCTGTCTCTCTGAAGGTAGGAAATTGTCACTGTTCATCACGGCTAATTGGGGCATCTCTTAATTTTGTGAACATCAGATTGTTATAATCCCAAAGCTGCTCTGCTTTAGCCTCCTCTCCCGCCTCATTGAATGTTGGATTTGCAGTTTCTGTTTGGTTCTCCTGTCTGAACTACCAAAACAGATACTTGATGTTTACAATTCCATACGAAATCTGGGAGTGTTTGTTTTACTAGTCACGAGTAGCAATCTGTGACCAGATTAACCATCCTAAAGCTTTGCTTGGGCTTACTTCACCTTAGCCAGCAGCTTCTCACTCACTCACTCTCTACTGCAGTTTCTGACTGGCTTTTCTTATCTCAGATCCCAAAACAGAGTAACAGACCGACCATTATAAATCTGGGAGTGCTTTCTAGTGATGTGTAAGAACCCGCTATCTCAGATCACCGTTCTATTTTGCCCAGTTTTCCTACACCGATCGATCGCCGGGGGCGTAAGTAGCACTGCCAGTGCAAGCTTGCTCAGATAGATAATGTTTGTTTGTTTGTTAGACTGCGGCTGTTCATCATGACTAATTACGGCTTCTCCTATCCTGTGAACATTGAATTATCATCATCCAAAAGCTGCTTTCCTTGGGCTTAGTACATCTCACTCAGAGCAGTAGCTTCTCAAGCCTGTCCCACTCACTGAACGGATTGCAGTTTCTGTTTGGTTTCCTTATCTGAATTCTGAGCTGCAATACCAAAACAGACCATCGTCTGCTCAGGATTCCAGAAAACAATCCGGGGTACTGTGAGTTATGCCTGCTGGTGGTAGGGGATTGCCCCGATGTTCATGGCGGCTAATTAGGGCTTCTCTTAATCATGTCAACACTAACTAAATATCATCCCAAAGGCTACAACACTGCTTTGCTTGGCCCAATACTACATCACGGTCAAGCACTCAGCAGTAGCCTCCTCCCGACTCTGCTCGACTCACTGAGTGATGAATTGCAGTTTCTGTTTGGCTTTCTTACCCCAATTCCCAGTCCTAGATGAAGGAATCGCGAGCGCTTTCTGGTGATGAAATAGTTGGCTTCCGTTTGGTTTTCTTTTCGTAAATACCCAAAGTGATAATTGATGTTTACAGTTTCTGTTTGATTTTTTTGGTCTGGGTTAATGATCCCAGTTCTCAAAGCTTTGCTTGCGTCTACTCAATCTTGGCCAGCAGCTTCCCAGTCCTGTCTCAGGCACTCACTCTCTGAATGAACTGTGAATCTGGGAGTGTTTTCTGGTGAGGAGTAAGAAATGTTACCTTGTGATGGGAGAAAAGGCGATCATTTAGCTATGCAATATACTCCCTCCGTCCCATAATATAAGAGCGTTTTTGACGGAGGGAGTAGTTAATTAACTGATGGATGGCATGCAGGAGCTGCGGTTTTCCCGAAGATTGTTGATGAGGCCAGGCTATGGCTTAGTGATGGCAGTGGCAGATGCAAGCTGATGGCCGGCCCTGGTGAACAGACCACTCGAACCTCTGATTAGCACCGTACCGTACCCCATGGGTGTTGTTATCTTTCATCACCGTCTACTTTGTCCTGCTCTTGTACCGAACCTTTGGTCTGATCTGATCATGAGGTGGGTCCTTACTTACTCCTGGCATTACTGCATTTTAGATCATCTGGAATGAATGGCTGAATTTGCAAAGAAAGGCAAGCGCTCTCTGACCGTTGACAGATCATACACCTTCTGAGCTCCCGCTCTGTCTTTTTGCTGGAGACTTCATCATCATCATCATCATCATCATCATCTTTTTGCCTGGCAGACGCTGAACGGCGAGCAGGAGAAGCTCACCACCGGAGCTGAGTTCAGAACTTGAGGTAGGTAGGTAGATGGATGAGAAGGAGATCCATTTTTTCCTCTTTCTCCTGTTAGTCTAGACCGGGCGATCACCAAGGTATCTAGCTCCGTGTAATTAGTACTGGGAGTGCAAGCTTGCTCACATAAATAATAATGGAAAATTGCAGTGCAAGCTTACTCGTAAAAATAATGTTTGTTTGTTATGCCTGCTGGGGGCAGGGAATTGCTGGTGTTGACGTACGGTGGTTAATTAGGGCTTGTCTTAATCGTGTCGACATTAACTAAATAACATCCCAAGAGCTACATTGCATTGCTTATCCTCACGGCGAGCAGTAGCCTCCTCCCGGCTCACTGCATGATGAATTGCAGTTTCTGTTTTGTTCTCTTATCTCAACTCTCAGAGTACCAGGGCAGGGCAACCCCAAAACAGACCACTGTCTTTTGTGTTTACTGCAGTTTCAGAAGGAATCCTGGGTGGTTTCTGTTGATGCATAACATTTTGTCTAAGCTATGCTGTGCTACTGCATAGTGAGATAGGTAGGCAATGGCTCGATTTCATCTCCCGCGGAACCGCAAACTACGCGCAGTAACACAAGCGCTCGTATACACGCGCATACACTCACCCCTATGAGCAACTCCGAAAGACTGAGCCTCATTGTCGACGGGAACGTCTCCTCCTACTAAATAACTAAATACGCATCGCTGGAAATCCTGAAATAAATCCAGACTCTACCTTGCTAGGCGGGCCACCTCCCATGCTGTCAATTATGCTGTAATAAACCAGACGTCCGCTGACGATATTTTGGAGAAGCTTAATAAGCTGATAGCTTGCACTCCAGAGGAGCTAACAACATTTACTTTTGCCGAATCTGCTCCGGTTACATTGTGTTGCCTCAACCATGTTGACCATGAATCCCAAACCCTGCAGATAGATCTCTAGAGGCTGTTACAAGGGAGTTTGTTATGTGGCTGCTAGAAGGAGGGCGTGAGAGGGCCGGCCGGGGGCCTTTTTGCCCACGGCCGGGCAAGAGGAAAGGAATTTCCTTCTTAATTCTTGCTTGATTAGATTGATACATCTCCTCTCTTTATATAGAAAGGCTTACTTGACCCTTAAGCAAACGACCCTTATCTCTAATTAACCCTAAGACTAATGGGTCCATTAGGCCCATTACATACTCTAACAGAGTTCTACTGCAACCCGAGACTTAGGGATGTGTAATGTTAATGTATTTGCGGCAGTCTATGCCTTTTTGCTATTTCATTGTAAGTTTTCTTTTTTCCATCCACCATCTATCTAAAAAAACAAGTTTGTGTATGAAAAGGCCGAGATCTTGCATCATCATCACAGGTCATCAGACAGGACAGAATTTCGGAAGCCCACAAGTGGTAGTGCATCTCCTCGGCCGCTCCCACCGCAGCGCCGCCTCCGTCGCCACATGGTAGCAATGTCGCGCTCCGCCATCTCGCCGTCCCACATATGGTCGCCACCGCCGCCACTGGCTCCCTCCCCTTCCTTCCCCAAAACGGAGCACCGCCAGATCCTTCTTTACCAGCGAATCGAAGCCCTGGATCCAGCACCAGCCGCGTCTTGACCGGAGGAGATGAATCCGGCCCTAAGGTAATAACTGGGTGCTCCGACCTTTATTCCTTCTTGTTCTAAAATAAATAAAAATTGTATTCCCTTCGTAAACTAATATAAAAGCGTTTAGAATACTAAAGTAGTGATCTAAATGCTCTTATATTAGTTTACAGAGGGAGTAGTATCTTGCTTTCAACAGGATGGTTCTCTTCCTAAGGTTCTGCAGCAACAAAAGCGAAAGCAAAAGCAAAAGAGGAATCGTCCAAAGCGCAAGCGGATTACCCTACTAATTATATATGGGTAAAGCTAGTGCTTTTTTTTTTCCTTCAAAGAGAAGCAACAGGGAGGCTTATGGACTGGGCAAGGGACCAGATTCCCTACCAGCAGCCTTTGATACACATATTGCTCCCCAGATGACCAAGTTGCTTATCAACTAAAGCATCCAAATTTTAAGTATTGCTCCATCTTTGTCTGACTGCTACGTGGGAGTAAGCCTCGCTCGTCTCGTCTCTTCTTCCGTTAATTAAGGTGAATCTCTCTCTTACCCGTTCAAGATCTACCTCTACTGCAACTCATGTGCTCTACAACAGAGCAAATTGTGTTACCTTTGTCTTATATATCAAAAATATGCTAGTAGAGTATTTTGTGCATCTACAAACATAGAATTGTACAGCATATTTGGGTGAAGCATTAATTGTAGGAAAATTACTAGTCAAGCACGTCAGTCAGCTCACATGATTAGTTCTATTGTTGCTATGGAATATGTGGTACATATATCATGTCTACATCTGGACGGTGTAGATATAGGAAAACTTATAAACCAGGAACTATGTACACCAGCAATTAATTAACTGGTACCATATTTTTTTCCACTAGTTAATTAGTTCTAAATAGATTCCCTAGCGGCCATCATGGTAGAAAATTGTATATGCATGTACATTCCATTAGTATATCATGTATATGTGCAATTTTACTAGTTTAATTCGACTGTCATGTTGGTTGTAATATCATCTCCGTGGTTGCTTGTGTACTTCTTTTGAAGGAAATATATGTATGTACTTCAACTAATTTGTTTGTAATATGATGATTCTCGTGTGCATTCAGTGGTCACTGATGGCTGGAGCGGTGCACCTATGGAATGGTTGGGGGGTCCAAATCCTAGTGCTTGTTAGCTTCATGCTTCAAGTGTTCCTGCTCATGTTCGCTACGATGCGGCGGCGGAACATCTCCACCGTCGCAAGGACCCTTCTCTGGCTAGCATACCTGCTGGCAGACTACATAGCGGTATTCATCCTCGGCCACATGTCCTTCTATGGCAAGTCCCACGGGCACCAACAGCTCCTGGCATTCTGGGCGCCATTCTTGCTGGTGCATCTCGGTGGCCAGGACAACATCACCGCCTACTCCATAGAAGACAGCCAGCTCTGGCCGCGCCACCTGCTTTCTTTTGGGGCGCAGACGATGGGAGTGGCTTATGTCCTCTACAAGTATGTTGCTGGCAGTTGGACCTTGCTCGTAGCCGCTGTGCTGATATTTGTCAGCGGTGTTCTCAAGTATGGGGAGAGAGTATGGGCGCTCAAGTCCTCCAGCCTGGACAACATGAGTAAGTTTGTTGACAGCAGGAAGAGTGAAGCCAAACGAGAACTGCATGCACAGTGGGGCCAAGGGCAGAAGTTGGATCATGAAGAGGTTCTACAGGGAGCTCATTACCTGCTTCCCATTTGCATGGCTCAGTTGGTGGACTATAAGTTCTGGCCATCGACATTCCAGAGTAAAGCCATAGAGCTATTTGATAACAAGAGCCAAATGTTCGATTTGGTTGAGATGCAGCTCTCCTTGATGCATGATTTCTTATATACCAAGGCATCGGTGGTCTTCACATGGTATGGATGCTTCATCCGTGCCATTTCATCAGTTGCCACCATCACTGCTTTCTTCCTATTTCAGTCAAGCATTGGCAAGAATGACTTCAACAGAGTTGATGCCATTGTCACATACATGTTAATAGCTGGGGCTGTCCTCCTAGAGATGACAGCGGCGTTGAAGGCAATGGGATCAACATGGACATGCGCATTGTTGCATGCTAGAAGATGGCATCGGCTTCACAACATAGTCGTATCTGTCCGGCGATGTGTCAAGGCTGCAGAAAGAAATAGAAGATGGTCAGGTTCCATTGGACAGCCCGAGTTGTTGAACTCATCCCATGGCAGTGGAGACTGCGTGTCTGCGCAGGGCCTGGCAATGGGATGCAAAGATTTGTGGAAGAAGTTGCGCCACTCCTTACCTGTCATTTCAGATGATACTAAGAAGTCGGTGTTGGAAGAGGTATGCAGAATGGTGGGGGCATGGAATGCAGATTCTGTGAGCTTATGCACCCGGGCCTCACTATCCTAACGCTCCATTGTTGCTTTAAGATCTGTGCTACACAACTACCTTATTACATGGAATTTTCTTTTTTTTGTTCCTCTCATATAAAACATGTCTTGAACTTCAAACTTTGCAGTACAACATAACTTTGTAACTAGAATGTGAGATAAAACTTTCAGATTTTTTTGTCCGACATAAATATGAAAAATAAGATTTTTTAATCAAATAAATCTCATTTTGTATATTTATGTTGGACCAAAAAATCTGTAAGTTTTATCCCACATTCTACATAGAAAGCTTTGTTGTGCTGCAAAGTTGAAAGTACAAAAACATGTTCTATATGAGAGAAACAAAAAAGAGAAAATTATTTGCACGAATCCTGATGCAGAAATGAGTGGTTGGATAAGGAGTACCCGGGTGCATAGGCTCTAAAACATGTTTTCGTGGGGGCATGTAAAGGCAATGAGGATATTATGAGGAGTTACAGTGGTCAGTCCGCACTGAATCCATGGCACGGTTTCTTCGAGGATCCTACCTCGCGCGCTGGCATTGATTTTGATGAAAAAATCCTTTGCTGGCACTTTGCCACCAAAATATTCTTGTCAAGGCCATCTTGTGTGGAAGAGCAAGATTATGTTTTGGAGGCAATCAGGGAAGTGTCTAACTATATGATATTCCTCCTTGTTCAATGCCCCTACATGCTGCCTAGCCCTGTTCGCCCCGGATTGTATGCCAATAATGAAGCAACATATGTGAGTCTTGATTTTTCTAAGGTGGACCGCATTAGCAGAAGGGGGAAGCTGGACAACAGAAGAAGAATGTGGGATGTGGACACAAGAAGGGACGTGGACGAGCTGGACAGAGTAAGGGGGAAGTTGGACATAATAAGGGAGGAGCTGGACATACTAATGGAGGAGGGGCGCAGAAGATGGGAGTTGCACGAAATAGGGGAGGAGCTGAAAAAAATAAGGTTGGAGGTTGACGGTTCAAGGGAGAACCTGGAGAAGCTGAACATAATAAATAAAAAGCTGGAGGAGCTGGACAGAAGCAGCGTGAAGCTGCGTTTGAGACCTTCACCTCCACCTGCCTTAGCCCGTGTAGCGGAGCTTGCTGTTGGGCTGCTAGATACGGTGGAGGCACGGGGCGAACAGGAGGTGCGGCGGGTGGTACTTGGGGTGTGGGTGGAGATGTTGTGCTATGCAGCCCACCACTGCAGCAGGGATTCCCACGCCAGGCAGCTCAACAGTGGCGGTGAGTTCATTACCGTCGTCTGGCTTCTATCCACTGCCATCTTCAGTCGCTCCTATTGTGACAAGGATTGGTTTAAGAAGGGTGTGGAGGAGTTCTTCAAGCCATCATTCCATTTCCGGGACAGCCGTGGATGGTTTCGAGACAACTGCGAATGGTTATGCAGATGTTTCTGCGAATGTTTCTGCAGATGCTGCGGATGCTCCTGGGACAGCTGCGGATGGTTGTGCGGATGGTTGTGCGGATTGTGCGGATTCCGGGACAGCTGCGGATGGTTTTTGGATTGTGCGTATGGTACAGCTGCGGATGGTGCGTATGGTACGGATTGGTCCGTAGGCTACTTTACCCAAACAATCGCCAGCGGGGGAGAGTGGTTCGGGTTTGAGGAGGGGCTAATTCATTGTATTGTGTAGTAATTTGATATGCAAAAAATATATATTTCCATGAGCCTTTGATGACTGCAGCATGTGCTTCCGCTATAGCAATTTGTGATATTTTCCCTTCTCAAAGACCATTCACTTACCTGTGCTCGGCTCATATGACCGCCGACATGTTTGTTATACTCTTCTTGTCTAATCTGATGGACATGAGGAGTGTGTTTAGATTTAATTTTCGGACTGTCTATTTGACGCTTGAATGTTTTTCAGTTCAAGAACATTCAAAAAACCTGACAAATGACCATATGACACCTGTACTGCACGAAAACAGACGATAGCGCTAAAAGGACGCGAAAAAATGGGTCAGGCAAGATATTTGACCCGGTAACCCTGGTCAACAACCCACTCCAGAAAAATCAGGGACCTACCCCTCTCTCCATCTCCAGGGCCACACAGCATGTGCCCAACTTGCAAGGCACGAGACGAGCAGCAAGAAAGAAGATCATCAGACGGGAATCAGCATCATGATCCACAGGTCAGCATCTTAACTGCTCACCAACTTCTCTCTGCCCCTCTCGCATGAACAAATCAGGGAGGAATTTTCTTCATCTACAAAAAGAGATAGATCAACATCTGCTGAACTTCTGGGAAATTACTTAAATTCTGTGATCAATTACATTGACATCATCATGGGAAAATACATTAAAAAGCATTGAAATGATTCGAATGGAAAAAATACAGTGTAAAAAATATTCAGAAAACTTACAAGAATAATTACAGAGGGAAAATAAACAATTTACGGTGTAAATCCCTAGAAAATTCTAGTGTAAGTAGGGTAATTTCCAGTGTATATCCCAGTGTAAGTAACATGTAATTAACTTGTAATTTCCAGAGTAAAAACATATTTTACAGTGTAAAACCCACAGCAAAAACCTATTGTAAGTACCTTGTAATTTTCAATGTAATTACATGCTTTACATTGTAAAATCCCAGTGTGTAAACTTCAGTACTTTTGTAATTTCCAGTGTAAAATCATGCTTTATGGTGAAAAATCCCAGTGTGTAAACTACTGTAGGTAACTTGTAATTTACAGTGTAAAATCATGCTTTACAGTGTAAAATCCCAGTGTGTAGGTAACTTGAAATTTCCATTGTAAAATCATGTCTTACAGTGTAAATCCAACAATAAAAACTACTGTAAATAGTTTCCAATGTAATTACAATGTTTTACAATGAAAAATCCCAGTGTAAAAAACTACTGTAAGTAACTTGTAATTTCCAGTGTAAAAATTACTTTAGGTAACTAGTGATTTCCAGTATAAATACACTCCTACAATGTAAAATCCCACAGTAAAAACTATGTAAGTAACTTGTAATTTCCAGCAAAAATACTACTGTAAAATGCATGCATGTACTTAGAAAGTTTTACTAAACTGTAAATCCCACTGTACAAAAATACTAGAAACTAGGAACTAAGAGTGCAAAGCAGCCAGAAAAAATTATAGAGCCAAACTACTAAAGTAGAGCGCATAAGCTACTTTAAAACAGCGGAGACAGAACACTGAAAGTTCCTACATCTCACTAAAAAATGCTTAGTTGCTCATGATTACACTAACACTGACATTTTTCTTTTTAAAAATGGGTCAGGAGAGGAGCATGATGAGGGCACTGGCTGAAGATGACCTACTAAGACTGTCACAGGAAGAACTGATACTCAATGTGAGATACAGTAGCTAAACTTTCGTCCCGCATTTTCATTCACTGTGCTCCTTCATTTATGTTGCATGAGCTTTTTCATTATGTTTGAAAAAAATACTAAAAATGTATTATGCTGCAGGATACATTTTCATTCACTGCCCTCCTTCATTCAGATATTATATACAAGGTAAAAAAATCAAAAAATCACAAAAAACAACTACTACAAAAAATGATACCAAAAATTCTAAATTATAAGTTGTGATGAACCATGCAAGTACATTCTGGAGATGCATCAACGAATGTTGTGAAAACTATTCATCAGAACTACAAGAGCAAAGCAGATGATAGTTTCAACACAGAAATGGACAACAATGTAAGCAAGATAACTGCTGAATAACAATTACAAGAAATACCAAAGAAAATGCATTGACATTCACTATACTAACATACTTTGCAGACATTGGAGGGAGACTTGCATCATGAAGTGGCAGCAAGTGAAGATGGTGGAGGAGAATCTAATCCATGGGACAGAAACCTGTTCTACAACTTGAATCTGCAATAGGTACACACTACAAAAATTTCAGAAATAACAAATGATGAACATATATGAAGTTGAAACATTATATCAGGAAAAAAAACTAAAACGAAGCCCTAAACTTGCAGGAGGCTGAGGATGTTGACAAAAGAAGAGCAACAGCTAAAACAAACTCAAGCGCAAGCCATAGCAATGAAGAAGGAGATATAGAAGAACAAGAAGACTCACTTGGACAAGATGCAGAGGATGAATTCCTTGATGAAGAAGACATTGAGAGGTTCCTGCAAAATGTTTTATCTCTGCTATATTAGTCATGCTTTATCTAGTATTTCTATTTATAAAATCATATGGTAAATTGCTCATATTTCCAACAATCCAAAAACCTTATTATAGGCAATTTACCTCAAGTGGTTTTGCTGCATCCATGAGACCTCCTATGTTTGAGGGTATCCACTATAAGAGGTGGCGCGTGAGAGCAGTCTTATGGTTTCAAACCATGACTTGCTATGACGCCACTCTTGGCAAACCAGAAGGAGATTATGATGCTCAGCAGATACAAGCTTTTCAGAAAATGGATACCCTGTTTAAGGCTGCTCTCTTGAGGTTTCTTGGTGAGAACATAGTTTGTTAGGGCATATCTCTCTCTTAAGTAGTTTTGGTGTTTGATGACAATGCATTTCTGGACTAATTGTTTGCATTGAGCTCTTCAGATATTCATTCATTGGCACGAGACGATTTATTCCCCTCGAAGCTTAAAGTGAAGATGGTGTAGTTCTCCTTCGCTTTTATTTTTGGTGGACTTGAGTTGCATGAGGATACTATTTCCAAGTTGGAGGGGCATAGTCATGACTATGCCGATGAGATTGCCTATCTTTCCATTGCTCTAGTCGAAGAGCGAGATCTTCGTTTGACTCTTGAGGAGTCACACAATGTTGATGATGCTAAAATGCAAAAAGATCTTGATCATGCTATTGTTCTTACTCGTGTGCTTAAATCCGAGAAAGTCGCAATTGGGGTTGGCCATGATAGACTCAAGGAAGAATTTGATACACTTGATAAGGCTCACAAGGTCTTGAAGGGTGTTCATGCTTCTCTCAAAGAGTCACATGATCAACTCCAAGTGAAGCTAACCAAGGAGATTTCCACTTGCCCTCCTTTCATTCTAATTGATAATGCCCATGCTACTAACCCTTGTTGTGAGCATGTGCATCTTGTGGAGGAAAATGCCAAGTTGAAAGCGAAACTTGAGAAGGGCCTTGTGACATGCATACAAGGTGAAAAGAACATCAATGACCTTTTGACGAGCCAAAAGGAAGTAGTAGGAAAGGATGGACTTGGGTTTGCACCCAAGTCAAAGAAGAAGAAGAAGCAACCTCTCCCACTAAAGAAAACTTTTGTCAAGGCAGGTGAGGATACTCATGAGAAGAAGAAGAACAAGGAAGTGGGTGGTAATGCCAAGAAGGGCAAAACCGCCCCTAACAACAATGCCGACAATTTTAACCCTTCTTATGTTTTATGATGTGCTAGTGATGGGCATGTTTATGCCAAATTTGTTGGTTCTTACTATGAGTACATTGAATGGTTTATTTGGGTTCCTAAGACCCTTGTTACTAACCTCAAAGGACCCATTCAAGAATAGGTACCTAAATCCAAGCATTGATCTCTTATAGGAGTTTGTTTCCGGTGGAGTGTCATGGTTTCTTGATAGTGGTGCAACAAATCATATGACCGAGACCAAGGACTTGGTGGTGGATGTGCATCCAATTCCATCTATGCCTACCCATGTCCAATTCGGTGATGCTTCAACTTCTAAGGTATTGGGACTTTGCAAGGTGGTCATCTCTCAAGATTTATCTATTGAGAAGGTCATGCTTGTTGACTCCCTTGCATACAATTTACTTTTCGTTCGTCAACTTGCACTTATGGGCTTTGCAACATTCCTGGATCTTGATACCGTGGCCCTTTTGTGGAGCAAGAATGTTAAAGTAGCCTTTGTTGGGCATGTCGAGAACGGTCTCTATGTGGTGAACTTTTCGAAGCGACACACTAAGACCGCGAATTGCCTAATGGCTAAAGTTGATGTGGGATGGCTTTGACATCGCCGACTGGCCATGTAAATAAGAGATCTTTGCAAAGTCTCCTCAAAGGGGACCACGTCCGTGGACTAACAAATGTGAGTTTTGCCAGAGACCGTGCTTGCAGTGCTTGTATCAAATGAAAGCTTCATGAATTAACGGCTCACCGACCCTCTACTATCATCTACTCGAAGAGGCCCTTGGAGCTCCTTGTATGAGATATGCCCTAGAGGCAATAATAAATGTTATTATTTATCTCCAAATTCATGATTATGTTTATGTTCCATGCTATAACTGTTGTGGTTCCCGAGCCCGTATATCCATAAAGGCTCTGGGGAAAACACATGTGCACGTGTGGAATAATAAACCGTAAAATGCATTCCTGGTCGTGCCTCTAAGACTAACTCAGGTGTTGCATGATTATTACATTTTTCCATCATGGGCATGTCTATGCCAGCAACTTTGAGGGCACAATGTTAGAAGAACATTTGTGTTGAATCGACTCGAATTGATGTTATGCTATGAGATACATTCGTCACAAGCTTATGGTTAATAACACAGAGATGGTTAATGTTTGCATAATTCCTTAGACCATGAGAGTATCGAGTTTATTCATACTTGCTTCATGAACTTTGGGGTTTGTTAAACGTCATCCGTAAATGGGTGGCTATTAGGGCAGCTTACGGGTTCATGGAAAAGTGTGTCAAGTAACTTGATAGCTCAAGATTGGGATTTGCTCCACCGGCGATGGGGAGATATTCTCGGGTCCTCTCGGTGTTACGGTATCCATCATCGTCTGGCCAAACACAGTGTGATTTGATCACAGGGATGCCGGAACACGGAAACGAGAAAAGAGAACAAAACCGGTAATGAGGTAACTAGCATAGTGGACAAGTTGTTGATCCACGGGGATGCAAGTAAATCTCACATCGGGTATTTGTAACATATCGCCAAGCAACAGGAATAGCACACAACAACTGAAAGGTTCACTCGAATATTCATTCGTGTGGGTATAGGGGTCAATATGGGTGTCCACGGGTCCGATGTTGATCATTGATCAGAAAGAGTTCCGTCATGTCTATACTTCACCGAACCTATAGGGTCACACGCTTAAGGGTCGTCTATCTGCCGAATACTAGACAAGGAGTCTGAGAGAAAGTCATCGGAAAAGTTTCGGAGGCAGCGGAAGAGTTTCGGAGAAAGAACACCGAAATAGTTTGGGTAAAACTGAAAAGTTGTTTCAGTGTATACCATTAAGTCAAATTGATTTCAGCACATGTCTGGAAATTCTTGGAGGGTGCCAGAATCATTCTACAAACTTCTGGGATTTTTTGCTGGAGCAGCTGTTATGCTAATACTTGCGTGCGAGTCGAATAAAGGTAACTTGGACTGAATTTGCTTTTTCGATGGAGCAGCTGTGGGTGGCCTTGTTGGACCGAGAGATTGAGAAATGGAAGAGATGGGTGGATATTCTGACTGACGGCATATCCATGCCGTTGTCCTCGTCCGTCCATCGTCACCAGCTGCTGCTTGACTGGTTAGCTTGCCCGTAACAGCTACTGCATAACTATAGCTAGATAGGCAAGTGATTGCTCAGATTCCCGGATTGAGTGCCGCCAGTGTCTCACAAGGAGTGTGGTGTGTGCGTGTGCGGCATATACTGCATTTTCGATGATCGATAACGATATCCCCTGCCTGCTCAAAGGGAGGTCTCGCGGCGAAATATTCAACTAGTTTAAGTAACACACAACATTTCAAGCTATTATCATTATTTGTTTTTCGAATATTTAGTTGAACTCGCATCGAGTGCTTAGTTTAGGTCGTTTGGCTGAACCGAAATCTTTTGCCTGTGCATGCAAGCATAGTTGGGTATATTTTGCTCCATTGATCCCGGCCACTTCTTCTGTGGACTGTCAGACAGACCAGGCATGCAGGGAGGGCTCTCTCAACGGAGACAGCTACTCCTACGATCCAGCAGTATGAGGAATCATATACTAGTATATCCTAGCTACTCAGTCCGAAATGGTATATCCACTGGAGATACTTGCAGTGTCGGTAAGAGATAAAAAAAATATACAAATCCGAAACAACAAGGTTTTGTGGTGTAGTTGGTTATCACGTCTAACACACTGAAGGTCTCCGGTTCAAACCCGGGCGAAGCCAAATAATTTTATTTGTTTTTTTCACGTTTTCCATTGTGAACCAAAAGAAGAGAAAAGAAAAAAATGATGGCCCATACAGGTTTCAAACCTGTGAACTTCGCGTTATTAGGACGACGCTCTAACCAGCTGAGCTAATAGGCCTTTTGTGCTTGTTTGTACACTTGCGGCCGTAGTTCCGCAGGCCCATGGCTGCGAGGCGGCCGGCC